TGTCCTTGGCCGAGCAGTCTGCGATTAGAGCCCGGAGAGGCGCGTGTGGAGGGGGGTCTGGTTGTTCATGCCCCATGTATGCGGAGCAGATCCTCAGTGAGTGCTCCTGACCTTCGAGGCTCACTGCGGTGTGGTCTTTATTGCTGAAATTTGGGAGCAAAAATAAGTGCAACTCTCTTATTGCAAGAATGCAGGTACGAATTTTACCTGCGGTTTCAGCTACATATAGCTTGAAGTCAGAAGTCCTCAGACCAGAGAACCTGTTTCCGAGGATCCAGGGCTCCTGAATGAGGACTATGTCGGCTCCACCCTTGACCAGGTGGAGCAAGAGAGCAGCGCATGCTGCCTTACAATGGTGGAGGTTTATCTGCAGGAGTATCAGTGACATTCCTGATGTTCACCTCCACCATTGTCTTGTCGTGGTCGCTCTCCGAAGAGTCCAGCTCCTCCCCGACCCCGATGTGCTTTAGATTCGTAGTAAGATCGCTCGCGTACCCAAATACCCATCTAAGATGTCATCCAACACTACTGATGCCTCGTCCGACACCGACACAAGCTTGATCTCCATGCTAGAAATCTCCGGGGGCTCCAGGTCTGGCTCGACCGTCGGTTGCATGCCCTTAGAGCCGGACTTGTACGGTACTATGATTACCTTCTTGTAGCCGTAGTCCAGTGCCCTCCGTGTCGTGGATAAGTCTAACCGACTCCTCGTTCAGGCCGAGGATGATTTGGCGCCTCTGTCCGTTGCTCTCCTCTACCTTGGCTACCTTTCAATCGGCTGTGGGAAGGTGAAGGTTGCAGACCTACAGAATCCGGAGAACCTTATCCGGCTCTGCAGGCTTCGCCGAGACCCACGCTCTGGCCCTCGGCTTGCTGGGGATGTGGGTATGTCCTCCCATATCACGGCCTCCAGTTTGGCTCCTTGGTAGACCTCCTTGAGCGATGCTACCGCCTTCGCGTAGAAGGCCGCCAAACGAGCATTTTGGCAGGCGATGGCTTTCACTCGGCCTTGGTGCCACCCGGCGTCCTCACACCTGGGCCTCCATTTTCCTCCAACTCCTGGCGGAAGCGGGATTGGAGCTCGTTGTCTACGAGGTGCCATTTGTCCCGAGGAATCTGCCCGTCTTTAGAGCCCCTGTCTGAGACTCCAATTAGGGTTTTTCCTCTCGCCACCTCGGCAAACGAGGGGTTGCTCAGTGTTTTCGTCCTCTTGGCCTGTTGGACTTGCGTGGTGGTGTCCTGCGCCGAGCGTTGCCGCTTGCTTGGGGCCTTGTCTCAATAATGAGATAATAATAGAGAATGAGAGCTTTGCAGACTTACTCAACCTTTTCAATACACCGAATAGCCAAAAATGGGGCTGGTCCATTTCTATATGTATTGAGCTGGTACTCAGAGGGGTCTTTTCTCTACACTATGAGATGAAATTGTGTAGTCTGTGTAACTGTAACTGTGTAGTCTGAAGGTAGTAATGTCGAATACAGCTAATCCTGTATCGTGAGACCGACCATCAGTATGTCATTCAAAGCCACCTGAGAGGTCGTCTTACAAGACGCATCGAAAATGACACGGAGCTTTGTGGACTGGACGTACTCTGGAGCCTTAAAACACACTGATGTGGAATAAAATAATGTGGAATTTTAGGGATTGTGTTGTCTGTTGGAGGCATGTCACCTAAGGAGAGGTACTTTTGCATGAATTCCAAGTATGTTTTGTACAACTTAGGGTCATGAGACAATAATTTTTCCAGCGACAAAAACCGGCGTCTGAAACTTTAAATGAGTTGCTTGAATACTGTGATCAGATCTGAGCGGCAGTTCTACTACAGACCTGAGTAGTCTTTCTACTATTTAATAATTGTCATATAACTTGTGCTCAGGAGACTTTTTAGAGGACGGTAATTCTTCCAGTGATCAAACTTTAGTAGTGTGTTGTCGATAGACACCACAGAATATTTTCGACAACTCAAACAGTTCCTCGCTTCTTGGGTCATAATGTCCGCCACAATCCAGCCCAGTATCGTTTTCTACAGCGTTGGACAGTCCGGACCTTGTTTATGTTGACAATCAGATTAGCGTTTGTTTGTGACTCAGAGTTAAGCAGAGTTCGGGCCAAAACATACTCGCCATTATTTGTTCGGATATAGAGCATGCGCAGTGCAAGGGTTATTCTGATTGGGTGGAGAAGAAGAATTATTATTTATTGCTATTTGGCACTGTGTAAGGTATAATATGAGCTGCCGCTGACTCGAAATTTCTTAGCTTTGCGTCGTACTGCAGTGTGGCCTTGTTGCGGACAATTAATGCATAGCGCTGCAGATTTTGTGAATTCAAACCTTTGCATTGCTGCCAGTCTATAAAATGAATTGCTATTTTTCGACAATTGGCCTATCGCATTGGAGTATATACATTGTTGGTTTTTGGTATTCGCAGTAGAGCACGTGAATGAGCTCAGATTATGAGGCTTGCTTGGCATAGCTTTTTGCTCCTTCTTTGGTTTTGTGGACTCTTGGGAACTCTTCCGAAAGATGCAGTTGGCAGTTCGCTGTCAGTCCAAAGTGGCAGCTTCTTATAATCGATCTGTTCTTCCCATTTCTGTTTGGTCACTAAATCGACTCTGTTCTTTCAACAATAATGCACCATATATCGATGAGTTGGGGATGGTGAGGTTCCTTAAGGACGATGTTGATTGCTGGCTCATTTTGGGAGACTAAACAGAACAGCGATAGGATTTATGAAGATCAGCTTTTTAAGCTAGTCCGGCTTTTTCATAGTTATTCTCGGTTACTTGGAACGGCCAACGGGGACAAGCGAAAACAAAATAATTCACTTCTACACCTATGAACGTATGTGTATGTTGTGTATTTGTATACGTTTGCAATGATTCACCCGAATCGACGACTAAATACCGAATCTAGTATTGGTGAGACACGATTTGTCACAATTACTAGTTGGATCCTACTGAAATCAAACATATATAAACTACAAGTGCAGGGTAGCGCGTCACACGATCATCGGTTTGGCTCAAGAGCGCCAAACGAAAGGACCATGAAACAACAATGACGATAAGCAACAGTGACTAGCGAAAGCGAAAAATACACCGCTGCACCTGTGTATATTGGTATGCGTGTCCTTGGTCAATGACCAATACAGGGTAGCGCTTCACTTGATGATCGGTATAATCAAGAGTGCCAAACGAGCCAACGGTAACGAGCGCAGACTAAAAATACCGCTGCACCTGCGTATATTGGTATTCGTATGCTTGGTCAATGACCAAAAATATGTAGAACGATGACGGTAGAACTGCATGCAGGGTATTTGCGCGGTCGATGTGATAATTTTGTAGCTAATTTGTAGCTAATTTTGTAGTTTAGTTTAGTTCGAAAACGAAAAGTACTTGTGCTCGGGTTTAATAATGTTTAACGACGCCAAAAGCGAGAGAGAGTGCTATTAGCTTCCTCGGATCCCAAAATTTCAGTATTAACACATGTAAGAGACATTCCAAATCTAAAATCTGTGTATTCACCTGAAATGATTGCCCTATTCGAAAATATTAAAAAAGGGTTTCAGTAAATATTAAAATATTTATTAAAATGCATATTTACTAAAAGAGCGTGGCCTGGCTTAACTAAAATTTATATATTGTATCTTAATTATGTCTTTGTTAATTGTTAGCTAGCTAGAATCTTAGATAAGAAAGTAATTAAACAACATCACTGCAGTGTACACTGGTTTGTAATAGTTCAATCATCTTGATTTACTTCTATCCATTCAGATCGAGCTATGCACAGAACAAAGAAAGAAAATAACTATAGGAATATTGAGGTTGAAGTCATTATCATGAAGAAAGTGTTTTATTTCCAAATCTTAAGAAATAGCTCGGCCTAAAGAGATTTGATTCCAACGATGAAGTCATCTCAGAAACAAGTGACTATTTTGAGGACCTCAACAAATCCTTTTTTTTTGGAAGGGATACACAAATTGGAGAAACGTTAGACAAAGTGGATAAAGCTAAAACAAGACGGGTTGGAAAATAAAATGAGATTTTATCCAAAAACCTGTGTTTCATTCATAAAGTTACTCATTTATTGAACAGCTCTCTGATATGTAAAATAGTAGCACGAGATTTGCAGTTAAGCTAACGAACATTCTTGCCCAAGTCTTGCTAAATTTGAACAGCAGAGAGTGCTATGAAAAATAGTTTTCGATGAACTTCATCACAAAAGACCACTGGATTCAGGGATGATTCAAGCTTTAAACCAACCTATTTTCGTCGTATTTGGTACCTCTTGTTTTGTAATTTCGCCAATCTTAGCTTATTTGTTTTGGTTGAGAAATTTCAGATTAATTATCCTCTGAGTTTCTGAGGTTTCTTTTTTTTTTTGCCACCCATTTTACTAAATTTAAGTAAGTAACGACCGTTGAAGGAACTTCGAGATTAAATTTTGCACAGTTCGAATCCTTGGTCAACAATAATGACCAGACCGACTAATGAAAAGAACAAGAACATAGCTCAACATAACATGCTAGTATGTACTTTAATTCCTCGCTGCACTTATGTATATCCACTTCAACATGTATTTATTAGGCAAAGATCAACTACTTAAAATGTGGTTGAGATTACGTCCTTTATAACAAATAGCTATAAAAGCACTCAATAGACGGATGTTATTTGACCATTTAGTGTTTCCGCAAAATCTTCTAAGCAGGAGTGTACTTATATTTCTACTTAAATTTCAGGTAAAAAATCTAAAACCTGCTTTTTAAAACCAAAAGGGTACTACCTTCAGAACGCTGAAAGACCTTTCCTATGTCTGGAAAACTGAGTTCAACCACATTCAAAATGCTGACCGTGTTGAATATTTTTATTTTAAGACAACTCATTGGAACTGCAAGGGTATCTACGCTTTGGCATGCCAAAGCGATCTTTAAATCATATTAATGTTAGCTTTTTTTTATATATGATTTAAAAATAAATAATGACAAATATTTTTTGGTAGTTTTTAGATTTTAATTGTAGAGCAGCAGATCATCATTTATTTGAACATCGGAATATAGCAAACTCAACTGGCGTCGACGATCTTTCTCCTACTAATGACAGTCTACCTTTGGTTGTAGTTAATAATATGTGCGATAAAGGCGCTGTAAAATGTGAAGACAACGAAGTACTGGTTAAACTGATCAGTGATTTGGAGTTTATGAAACGAGAATTATTAACGGAGCAGAAACGTTGCGCGGAATTGGAGGAGCAATTGATGGCCATAAGTAAATACAAAACATCTTTTAAGGTTTATTTTTGTTTCTCTTTACTCTGAAAACACAATCAAGCTAACCTAAAATGTTATAAAAGTGTATTTACGTTTTACTTATCTGTTTATATACATATGTATGTGTCCATCATACCTATAAAGTCAAATTTGGTATGTACCACGTGTCTGACAAGCATGAGCTTATTTATTTACCCGGTACTCAGAGAGTTAAGTGGAATTTTAGATTCGTGCATATATGTATATATAACAGTCAAAAGGAACTGTTTCCGAACCTATAAATAATTAAATTCATATAGGTATTTTTGATATGCATCAATAGCCGCGCCTATGACACGCTACAAACGATGTGTACTCCAACTATATCAGGACGTAATTAACAGTGCATGCGCAGCTGCAGCCGGCTTAGCGACGCTGTTGAAAAGCAACAGATAACAAGAGCGAGCTTAGATAAAGAAAAGAAAATATGAGTAGAATGCACTATCTGCCAGAAGTCAGCATTACTATAAGACGGCTTCACTATAATATAAGATGGCTTCAGAAAATATGATTTTCAAAGCTCCCTCAATATCACGAAACGCTATCATGAAGCTACAAATGACAACTTCATGAAGTTCCGTTTCCGTTTCTTGTAGTTGTAGCCCGTCTAGTCGGTCTCTCAAAGATTTTGAAAAGAAAGGACGACAGACTGATTGGTCTGAAGTCTTTTGGGGTAGAGGAGGCTTTTCCCGCTTTGAGGTTGAAGACAACATGAGGGAGGGATTTTTCCCACTGAGTTATAATATATTATGTAACAAGTTAATGGTGATATCTCCAGCATTTGGAATTTCGGCCGGTATGACATTATTAGGACAGGTTGTCGGCTCAATGGAAAATGGTCCACTTACCATCACTGCCCATCGTAATCAGCTCAGTGTTGCTCCTAGGTGATAACTAACTAATTATACCTAAATTATACCATATCCGGTGGCATGAATCTCTTCACCTGTTCAAAAGACGATTTAGACGATTGGATCAGATTGCAATCGGTCACTTTATCTCGGAGCGATATATATTTATCTGTTTTAATGGTGATTTAGGGCTCGCGCACACTGTAGCTGAAAGCGGAGCTGAAATCGGCGCTGAAATTGGAACTGAAAGCTCACTTGATCTGAGAGCTTTTTCCAGGCAGAATCAGCTTGCAGGTGCGTATATTGTCGGCTGATCTGATTGCTGAAAGCTGACAGCCATTGCCTCCCTTTTTCTCCTCAAGCGGCATCAAAAGTTATCATTATAATTATTATTATTATATTGTTAATGAATTATTACTTCACAGCACGTACAGCAGCCAGACGGAAGTTTTCTTCTTTTTTTTTTTTTATTCCGTGTATTTCAACCACATTTCCGTTATGTATTGTATTCTTATTACTTTTATTTTACGAATTATTATTAAATTTCTCAATTATACATTATATTGTATAATAATAAACATTGTGATGTCTTTCGAGCGTTTACTGTACTTGGGGACATAGTATATTATATTTATTATTGACATATGAAAATGGTAAATAATAAACTTGAACAAAATCAGTAATCAGCTTGCTGAAAAAACAAACATGCTTGATCGATCAAACTAAGCTGAGCTGATTTCAGCGAGCTTTTTCAGCTCAGCTCAGTCTGCAATGTGCGCACTTGCACCGGTGCAGTGTGTTTGTTTTTTCAGAGCTTATAAATCAGCTATCAGCTCCGATTTCAGCTACAGTGTGCGCGAGCCCTTTATGCGGTCGCCGCAGCAACTCACAACACATTCGATTCAATTTTACTGTATTGTAATCGCTGAATATTGAAAAATTACCGATGCACTCTAATTCTGGCTCAGATATTTGAGAGATATGTTTTTCAGTGACGATTATTATATGCGATTGTAATTGTTATTGTTATTTTGTATTGCTTAAAGTTCAACGATGGTCAGTTAAACTGTGTAGAAAAAAAAACCAAGCAGGTTATGGTATATTCTCTGACACATTTCAATATTGAAGAAAGTTAACTTAAATTATACACTAAAGTAGATTTGACTTTGATAGCACAAGTGTCAAAGGAAAACAGATGGAAAATTGTATTGTAATTACGGCAAAGGCAAAGGAAAGATTCATGGTCAGAATAGTTAGAAAGGGATAGCAAAACTTATAAGATTGATGAGGGCATTCGACGTCACCAAAGAGAATTTGGTTAAGAAAGAGAATTTCACGGCAAGTTCTACAGCTTTCAAGAGAGTGCAAGATTATTAAGACGCAGCCGCCTCTCATTAGAAGGAAGATGTCTAGTAGGATCCCAATTTATACCGCATAGGGCAAAGATAAGGAAACTTGGGGAAGATCATTGATAAACAGGCTTAATAATAAGAACAAGATGCGCTACCTTGAAGCGCACTCGAAGCGACAAAAACAGGTTTAGAGTTGAAACGGACACGCTGAGAACGAAATTGGAGATAAAACGGTAATTTAAAAATCAGATTTAGATGCTTTTTTATGAATGGGAATTGTGTAATAGTTTTTCCAGATGATGGGAAAATCACCAAGCTCAAGAGAAAGGTTAAGAGAGGCGCGCAAAGAGAATCCGCACAAAGTTTAAGAGCGGCATTGGGAACCATATCGGGACCAGTTAAGAAAATTTTGATTGATTTTGATTTGCGAGCCAGACAGTTTAAACTTCTTATATAAATGAGATTTTGTATCACGTAGGTTTATTAGCCGCGAACTGAACCAAAACGGGCCAAAAAGATTTCTGAGAGGGGATACTATGAAACAAAGGTAGGAAAGACGGAAAAAATAAGGCTGTAGAATGCATTATTAGCGGGCTAAATCTCATGAAAGTCTTCGTGGAATGACCAAACGATCTGAGAAAGTGCGCGATGCAAAGAGGTAAAATCAGCCCTCTTGAAACAAAAGATAGCCGAGGGTGCACGATTTGGTGGGACGAGAAGAAGGCAGCTGGACATCAACTTTCAGGGTGGGATAGTAAAGGTGGGATAGTAAAAAATAGAGAGGACAATGTAGAGGAAAAATGTAGTCTACAGAGGACAGTATTCGTTGTATCGGTAGTAAAGACAAGGTCTAAAATCCTACCCCTGCAATTGCATATGCCAACAGAATTTTGAGCAACACTAATAGCTGCTGGTCGAGCGGTAGATCGGCGGGAGTAACATCTGGGTAGCTTTGTGTTGTGGATTGCATAGTATCGAACTGCAGCGAACTGATGCCTACCGCCGCATACTCGACATTTTCCAATATTGCATGCACGAGTCCTATGCCCCGTTTTTAGGCATTTGAAACATAGGGAAAGCTTCTTCACTTCTTTGTTGCGCAGCAGCGGTGAAAGATTTCCGGATATCTTGCAAAAGTATATTCCATGGCCCGCTGAGTGGCAAAAGACGCATACAGACGGGTCGGCGGAAGAGCTGGAAGCTACGAACGTTTTTTTAACATGCGAATAGGAATGGTTTTTTCCCACCTGATCGCTTCTAGCGTGTGTCGCTGCAGCGTATTCCAACCGCTCCATTTTCTGGCAGCGTTGCTGCAAGAATTCGTAGAATTCCTTAGCTGAATGTATAGCATCTGACGATGTGTGCTCCTCCCAATTGGTTTGCGTCTTCGAATCGAACTTCTGCAGCATGATGTTGATGACCATTAATCCTGAGATCTCCTCAGCAGTTCCCAATGTCTGCAACGCTCGCATGTGTAAATTGACTGCATCCGAAAACTCCCGAAGCCTTTTAGCAGAAGGCGAGTCTACCCTCTTGAGCCCAAGAATCTTCTTGATGTGTGCTTGAAAAACAAGTCTTTTGTTATTAAAACATTTATTAATTATATCCAGTGCCGCACGATAATTGGCACTGGAGAGCTCCAACGATCGAACCGAATCCAAAGCCTCATCAGCGAGGCAAGAGCGAAGGTGCTGGAACTTCTCGATGTCACTGAGATCCGCAACAGCTTCAATCACCGATTTGAACATGGCCATAACGTTCGAAAATTCGACGTATCCGGAAACGGTAACGGTAAACCTATGTACTTTTAGGTCAAGCAGTCGTTGTGTGTGAGCCATGATGATGTTCATGAGTTGCTAAATTCAAGAGTAGCCAGCAACTCAGCTTTCAATGATAGTTGAATGAAAGTTTTCTCGCAGTTCACTACCAAGCGCCTCCAACTCATTAAGGGCCTTAGTGAATTCGTCTCAAATTTTCAAGGTGAACCTTGATTTCCGCGGCTGTCAATTTGTCGATTTGGTTGTGAAGGATTAGCGAATCTGTGCAATCGATCATATAAAAACTGAACTTTCCGCTTATAAAGACTGTTTTCAGCAATCACACTATTTGTTGTCGGTGTGCAATGCGACGAAACAATGGAAAAGAGAATAGCGCTGGTGATTTTCCCACCGTCTGGAAAGAATCCTACATAATTCCTATTCATAAAAAGGGGTCTAAATCAGACGTCTCAAACTACCGTTGTATCTCCAATTTATCTGCCATTCCTAAACTCTTCCAAAAAAGTATTACTTCTCAGCTCCAACACTTTTGTAGTTCCCTGTTATCAGAATCACAGCACGGATTTGTAAAACGTCGCTCCGTTTCGTCAAACCTCCTTGAATTTTCCTTCTTCGTAACTGCCGGATTTGCAAAGCAATGTCAAACTGACGTAGTTTATACTGATTTTAGTAAAGCTTTCGATTCAGTTAATCAGAATCTCCTTATCCACAAACTATCTCTACTAGGATTTCCGACTAAACTTCTTCACTGGACTAATGCGTACCTTTGCAATCGTTTTTAGCGTGTCTGCTTCCAATCTTCTCTTTCTAAACCAGTTTTTGTCTCTTCGGGTGTGCCGCAAGGTAGCCATCTCGGGCCCTTATTATTTAACCTCTTTATCAACGATCTTCCACAAGTTTTAACGAATTCACGAGTCCTAATGTATGCTGACGATGTCAAGCTATGTTTTTCCTACAGCGATCCGGTGTTCCCGTTATTTCTTCAATCAGATCTCGACGCTCTCAACAATTGGTGTACTATTAACGCTCTTCCTCTTAACATTTCCAAATGTAACGTCATGACCTTCCATCACAACAAGCCTTATCTTTTTGACTTACAATTAATAACATTTCATTGGAACGCCTGTACAAAGTTAATGACTTAGGCATTATCTTCGTTCCACACTTATTTTTTAATTCTCATATATCCGCTATTTCGAATAAAGCCAAAGGAGTCCTTGGCTTTATCAAAAGATGGTCGAAGGAATTTTCTGACCCCTATACCACTAAACTACTCTACGTTTCTCTTGTACGGCCTATCTTGGAATATGGTCCCTGTATCTGGTCTCCCCATTACCAAAATATCATATTCGCTTCTAGCTCTTGCTTAAGCCGGTTGTGTTTTTTTCTTGCTCCCGCATTCTCCGCCCTTTGCCTAAATATCATTCAACATTGTTGTGACTTTGTTTTGATATATTATCGCATCTCTTTAATTTGATTCTACTTTTTGTTAACCACCAGTGTTTTGTTTGTAAACAAGTGTTTAATATAAATTCAATATTGCAACGTAACGCATCGGACTCGTGCAGGCAATTTGTTATTGTTTTTTGCCCAGTCTGCTTTTCGTTATCGCTTCTTCGGTGTGCACTGTTCTCGCGCATCAGCGTTTGCATCGCCCACACTCTCTCGTGAGCATAAGCGGGCTGCTCGCATTGTTGCTCTCACTCTCTCTGGATTGCCTATACTCTCCCTCTCTGTGGACTTTTCTTTTGTGTCTCTGCTTTGGTGAGTTTACTGCTCGTTTTCTGCACTTCGTTGGATCATCTGCTTTGAATTATTTCCGCTGCAGCTGATTGTCTGGCTCGCTCTGCTGTCTGCTCTCCCATTTTACCTGCGATCTCACTCCGTTCTTTTATTATTCGTGCACAGTGATTCTACTGCTGTCAATAATGGCAATCGTTTGTAGTGCAAAGAAATGTGAATTCGGTGGTGTTATCATTGGTGATTCATTTCTTAGCTGCTGGCTGTGCGACAATTTTGCCCACATAAAATGTGCTGGTGGTGGAAATTTTGGCCGGCTGAATGATCTGATCTCGAAACGCATGGGCCTGTCTTGGTCATGTCTGGCTTGTCGGGAGATTGAGGCCGAAATGCGCACATTTATGAGACAGACTCGAACTGGGTTTCTGGATGTCCGGAAACAATTTGTGGCTCTCAACGAGAAATTTCTTGCCCTTGAATCACAGTTTCTTGGGCTCAAACTCTTGAGCGAATCGCCTAGACGGAAAATTCCGCATAATGATACCAATCTCTTGCAACCTAATCCGATTGGTAC